TTGCCAGGAGTGAAAGCTGATTGTATTCTTTTCCTGTTCAGCTGTTTCCAGTGTTCGTGTGTTTCCTGTTTAGGAGTTGGAGGATTCGTGTAGTTTGCAGTTCGGGAGATTGGTGCTTGCAGTAGCTGCCTGTGCATCTGAAAAGGGGAATATCACCTAAACGGTTACAGGTTTTGCTTGTAATTTATATTCATTGGTTATGTAGTATAAGATTAATGGAAAACTCAAGTGCCACAATCACTACAGTGTTCTGTAGTGGTTATGGTGTCAGGAGTGCCCTGGCACTGTCCCATGGTAAGCAGTCAAACTGCAGGAAAATCGACGTATCAATGAATGGCTATAATTACAGGATCTGTGGAAGTGATAAGCCATAATATGTTACAATTTAATATTACTTTTTAATTTAATAAAAACTTTTTTGCAATGTCACTTTTCAATTTACAGAATTATGTCCACCAATGAGAAATGCATTCACTGCATTATAACATTAAAGAAAATATTTTAATCCCTACCTTAGTCAAAGGTTTCCTTTGCGCACAGTTGATTCCACCAATATGTACCATGTTGGGCATAACTGGCTTTGGGAACTCAAAGACAAAGTCCTCTCTCATCAACCAAATGGCTGCATGGCTGAGAATCTCCTGCAAACTGACATCCTTTTGAAGATATTGTGAGATAAGCTTTTGGAAGGGGGAATAAAATGCATCACAAATAAAATGCATGGACTGGTCAATAAAAAAGTTTATCAAGCGCTCATGGAAGGTCATTCGGTCTGTGAAACTTGTAAAAAGTCTTGGGACGTAAGATAAAGGTAATGGGCACTGGGAGGCCTTAGCGTCTAAATGGCAAGGGATGGCACGAAGAAAAAAAATGGAAGGCAAAGAAAGATGCTCGGCAAGTATCTGACCACAAGGTAGAGCAGGGTCCGTAAGTACAGCATCAAAGGCGCTTTCCTGCAGAGACTGTATTAGCTGACTATTGTTCAACAGGCGAGTGCATGCATCCATCATTAGAACTGATCCCTCTTTGATCTTCTCTCGAATTCTTTGGAATCTCTGCGAGAAGGACGCTTGTGTAAAAGCCTCATTAATGAAGGAGATAAAATGACTTTCCAGCTGTGTCTGGGAGTAGGACACTGGATAATTAATTATTTCATAGTTCTGAGAGCTGCCCAGGTGCATGTTATGTTCTGGTGCGACTACCTTGATATGGTGTCCTCGCTGACCCAATAAATCCACAACTGCACGCATACTCAGCCAGTGACTGCCATCCACTGGCACCACCAGAAGCTTCCCAGCCTCAACCAACGTTAGGAAATTGAAAGAGAGAATCACAGCAGGAGTCATAACACAGAGAGACACACAGCATGAAGCCATGATTCCTCTGTCAAACCTGGATCATCAGATCAATGGCTTTAGACATTTGTACTTCAGCAAGTTATACAGTAACAAACTTTACACCATACGCTGAATGGTATATGGGATAGTGAGTGAGCATATCTTTACTGATTTTGCGTGGCTGTGCATGTTTTATCATAAGAAACTACAATAACCATATAATATATCAGAATAGTTAACTAAGGTTCCAATAGCCCAATAATGAACAAGTTAAAACTATCCTGTGCTGTACATGGCCCTTTGGAATGCAAACTTCAGACATTGGTCATGCTATCTAACAATGACTGGATTTTGCTGACAAGGCTCTAAATGAGTCTGAATATGGCCGGGATTACATCTGGCTGAAATCCAGACCCGGATTATTAAAATCCAGGCCCAGATGAAATATTTGCTCATTAGCAGCGCTCTTACTTTTATTGGTTGCTCGAAAAAAGCAAGTGAATGATAATTTGCAAACATGCATCCTGCTAGATATAATGGGTTCCAAATTAGTGCTTTAGAAATATATGCAGAATCTTACACTTTGTAGAGGGTTAAAATGCAAAACCATTGATTTTAAACCAAACACCAAATATCTCCAGCCGAATGGTGCACATTCGGTCAGGATGACCAGCTTCCAACTGTACTGAATGTGACAAACTCCCATTTTTAAGGGAGTTTGCCATGAGTTTTTGGAGGGGCCAGCTTGTCAGCCTCCTACCATGGGACTGTGGGACTTATGATAACCCATGTTCTAAGGTACCGTTTCTGCCCCCTGGACTTTTAACTGGAACAGATTCAAACATGTGGCAGCGGCCATCTTAAATTGTCCAGCAGTGTTTTGTCCAGTGGCGTACACACAACCCATGAGGCCCCGGTGTGAAAACTGATCCGTGCCCCCCCCCGCATGCGCTTACTCTGCGCGGGCTGAGGCCGCAACACATGGCAGCGGGCACCTGGTAGCAGGACTGCGACCGCGGTATGTACGCCAGTGCATGCAGATACACATACACTTAAAGGACCACTACAGACACCCAGATCACATCAGCTCAATGAAGTGGTCTGGGTGCCAGGTCCCTCTATTTTTAACCCTGCAGCTGGAAACATAGCAGTTTCAGAGAAACTGCTATGTTTCACTGAGGGTTAATCCAGCCTCTAGTGGCTGTCTTATTGACAGCCGCTAGAGGAGCTTCCGCGATTCTCACTGTGAAAATCACAGTGAGAAGACGCTGAACGTCCATAGGAAAGCATTGAGTAATGCTTTCCTATGGGCGGTTTGAATGCGCACGCGGCTCTTTTGCTACGTAAGCGCATTCGGAGCTGAGAGGCGGATCTGGGCGGAGAGATCCCCAGCGCCCAGGGAGTCTGGCACTGGAGAAAGGTAAGTGCTTAAGACACACACACACTCTCACGAACAGACGCATACACACTAGCTAACAGACACACACATTTACTGACAGACACACACTCAGTGACAGACAGACATACATACACACTCACTGACAGACACACTCACTCACTTACAAAACACACACTCACTAACACACACACACACTCTAACACACACACACACACACACACACTCTAACACACACACACACACACACACTCTAACACACACACGTTTTTTTTTATTTAATCCCCCAGCCTCCTTCCTTTGGGAGTGCTGAGGGGATTCCCTGGGGTCCAGTGGTGCTCCTGGGCGGCTGGTCATGCGGGCAGGCTGGCGCGCGCACGAGTGCCGAGTACTGATGGTGAGCCGGGCCCAGTCGCAGCAGCGACCCCTGCGACCCCGGTATGTATGCCACTGGTTTTGTCGTCGAGTGTATGGAACTGTTTTGGGCATGGGACCATGTGCACGGTGGGGCAAAAATAAGACTTCCAGGAAATTCCTGAACCCCTGATCCGATCTGATTTTTGGATATGTTGTTCACCTAGATCGGGGCTATCAGGGGAAGTGACTTTTGTGGGGATATGTTTTATTTTGGGGAACTTTTTGGGGTTCGTAAAAATTTATGTTTTTTCTGCTTAGAGTTAATTGAGTTAGTCCATTGTCTTCGTTAATTATATCACAGGCAGAGGGAAGGGATTGTGTACACTGTATGGGAGTGTCTGCATGTAAACCTCTGTTTTTATTGGCTTGTATGTTTTGTATTCGGTGCCCAAACAGGTCCACCTGGGTGTCACCTTTGCTGTATAACTTGTATAAAAGATCAGTGTGTGCCATTAAACTTCCTGTTCCTGCTTACACTCCAAAACTGTGTGTTATCCTGTTATTTGAGGGAAAGAAGCTCCTGTGTCTGCTGTTCCAGCTTGCAGGAGATTCAACAGGGAAAGTCTTTGTAAGGACTAGAGCTAATTCCCCATTTGGTTCCAGAGTTCCCAGGGCTGAGTGTCGTCCAGTGCCTGGAGGTGTCAGAGCTAACTCCCCTTTCGGCTCCAGGAAGGAGCGGTTCCAGGGCCCCAGTCAAGCTATGGCGACTTAGGGCAAGAAGTTCTGCGGTTTGTCCCCTGTTCCTGCTACGCTCTCTGGACTAGGAGAGGTCTACCCACTGGAAGCTGGATCCTGGTCTTAGGTCCAGGGTGGGTGGACGACGGCGAGACCCCAACCAAGCTGAGGCAGTTTGTGGGGTCTACGGTGGTTATGGTGTTATATATGACTGGAAGACTTGTCATTGGAGTGTTTACAACTGGATTAATGCATCACAGCACTGAATTGATGGTACATGGAGAAGAGACAGCCTGTGCTAATATACACTACTACAACTGGTGCACATTTTAAAAGTTGCTTGCAAACTGTTGCATCCACTGCTGGCAATGACGAGCTGGGCGCAGGTTAGACCAACACACTCATCCTATTGTTGCCAATTAAAGTTGGCTGGGCTAGTACAAAATTTTACTAGCCAAACGGTGACCATATGGTCAACCTTTAAGCCTTTTTTTTTTGTCTAACTGGTCAAATTGTTTGACACGAACAAGAGGGATATCACCCATATACTCATTCCACCATAACCATTGCAACGAGCTACAGGTGATATTGTGGTTAGTATATCCAGTTCAAAAACTTGTCACATTTGCAGTAAAACTAGAACAGGATCATAGACCATACTATTTTCTTTCACAAAGGTAACATGATGACTAGTAGCCCTTTGCGCCTGAAAGAACCTGAATGAAAAATGCTACACTCCAGACGAAAATCTGAAATATTGAACTAGAATTTTACAAACCGCGAATAAAACAGATATACATATCTTAACTAGATAACATATTTGTAGTCGAGGACATTAAGCCTTAATAATAATAATTAGTTATCTAATGCTTCTCGTCTTAGCATAGATTGTGGTGTCATCTGCATACATGTGCACAGCGGACATACTTAATTTACACATACTGCTCACAATTGGCATACCTGCTCACATATACTGTATATTGCTTATGATACTTCTGCTGAATTCAGATGTCTTTTCAAAAATAAAGATTTCAAAACAAACGTGTGTCATTTGACGGCTAGATTTACAGTTTACATTGTAAGCTCTGTCACTATCTGTCACCAGATGGTGACAGCGCAACTGGGGGTTCAGTGGCCATTGGGGGCAGGGAAACATAGGTTTTACTTACCTGTCCCTTGCGGGCGCCACCATTCTCTTCTGTCCACTCCTTTTCAGCTGCCAGCAGCCGATGTCAATGCTGTTATGTATGTGTGGTCTATTGAGGATCCTGAGAAGGAGCTTTTTTCCTTAAAGTTTTATTTTTTCACTAGTGATGGCTGGAAGAAATGGCAAGTCTTAGCGGCAGTTACCTCGTTTGGTCAAGCGTAGGAAAAATACTACGCTTTGTCTCTGTATATCTTTTGACTAGGTTGGAATTTCAGTCAAATTCCAACAGTCAATGTGAGTATTTCATAAGGATTCGACCTTTATGAAATTACTCATTTCTGGAATGGGTGTGTCAGAGCTGCTTTAAAGGGACACTCTAAGCACCAGAACCACTACACCTTAAAGCAGTGGTTCTGGGGCAAAGAGACTGTACCTGCAGTCTCTGCGTAAAAATAAATAAAAGCCTTTCCTGCAAAAAAACAATGTTTACATTGCTGCCTGATGTTACCTCTGAACAACCACTAGAGGAGCTTCCTGGTTGCAGCCTTGCAATCTTTGCAGGATCAACGTTTGGCTCTCTGTGCCGTCAAAGCACATGTTGCTTAACTCAGTGCAGCGATTGCCTTGCATGCTCACAAGGTCCTTGGTGCTTCCATATAGGGGAAGCATTGGATTGGCTGAAATGATCAGTATTGATTCACTCGGCCAGTGGAAGAGTGGTATCACCGAAGCACCGGGTGATATAAGGTAAGTAATAAAGATTTATTAACCCATTTTTAGGGGGGACTGCTAAGCTCAAAAGGCCCTTCCACCAAGATATGTAGGTTAGACAATTTAAAAATCTAGATAATTCTTACAGTTACAATGATATCTGGACCTTAGGGAAGGGGACGATTCTCAGATTTGGATTCTCTGACATCTTTGCGTTTTTGTTTTTTTTAGAGATCTACAGTTTACAGAGTTCACTAACTTGTGACCCTGAGTTTTGACAAGCCACCAGTATCATGCTGACTTTATTCCAATATATGTGACAACGAACTGTGCATAGGTCATGTGCTTTCATGAAAACCTTTTACATACTGATCTGACTGTTGTATGTGGCTTATCACTAGATAAATAGACAAATGCGTAATAAGTCACTTATTTGCCTTTTACCACATAATATGGAAATTTATAATTAATTTGTTTAGGTTTCAAGTTTGAAATTCACTTTGAATTTTATAACATGACAGGAGGCTTCCTATTTTGCATTAACTCTCTTTACTAAACTCCACAGCAGTAAAGAAAAACGTAAAGAGTAACAAATAAATCACTGAGCAGCATAGTATATAAGGGTCATGCTGCCTGTACACTTCCTCTTTCTTTACTGCTCCATCGCAGACAGGTCAGAATATTTGCTCCCCTGGAGCTTTATACATTTATTGTCACTACTTGTTATTCATTTTGTGTAATACTTGTTTATTCCTGCTATTTCAACATTCTTTATCATCATTGTTTTAGCCTTTCCTTGTTCTATACCAGGGCTGGGGGACCAGGGGCTTTCTGTGGGTTTTCCTACCTCCTTCTGCCCCTCTGTGCCTCCTGGGACCCTCTCTGGGCTTCCCCTTGGTCTCCCCAGGTCCCCCCTCTGCCCCCCTACCCTGGAGTGCCCTCCTGGGCTTCCTCCTTGCGGCCGGTTTTATTCGCGGCCGTTTTCGCGCCGGCCCGCTTCCGCCTGCGGCCGGCCTCAAAATTTAGTCCCCGGCTTGCGGCCTACCTCGCGGCCGCCATTTTGGATCGCGGACATCGCGAGATTCTCGCGGCCATCTTAGTTTTGCCTCGTGCATCTCATTAGGGACTCAGGGTGGCTGTGTTAGCTTGCTGTTACCTCCTAAGCTGCTGTTTTCACACCTTTTGTGGCTGACACCCCTGTGACTTCTATACCCTGCTGGGGTTATTCTGGGCTTGTTCCCACCATACTTCCAAATCTGACCCTACGCCTACTATCAAGACCTGGGTGCCCGTTCATTGCTGTGCCTCTCAGTGACCTATAAGCCTACCCTAACATGGAAGATTCCCAGAACGTCCCTGTGGACTTCCAGGCCATGATTAACGCAGCTGTCGCTGCCTCTGTGGAGAAGGCACTCTCCAAGGCCCGAGCTTCGGCTCCTGACGTACCTAAACGCAGACGTCCACGCCACGAATCGGATTCTGAATTGTCCGACCACCAAGCACGGGAGGATTCCCGCCCTAAAAAACGCCATGACAAAGGCGAAGACTACACACCCAAACCGCCTAAGGGTAAGGCACCTGCCAAGCGCAAGTCTGCCAAATTACACACCCCGGCCCCGCGTCAGGAGTACTCTTCAGACGAAGAGCAGGACGCACAGTCCATGTCAGTGCTGGATGAATGGCAAGCTGACGCCTCTGACTCGGACTACGACGCATGGGGCTCGGACGAGAAATCTGTCTCCGCTTTTATGCGAGAGACCCTACTGGGTGCGGCCCAGAGAGGAGATGCTGAGGACACTGCGGACGCAGAGCCTCCTCTTGATTCAGACGCCATCTTGGACCCCTCAGGCCAGGTGATGTTCGACCCCCGCAACATTCGGCACCCCAGATCAGGTGACTGGTCGCCTCCAGAACACCTTGCAAGGTTTATGCACCTGTGGCTCCGCAAACCTCTGGAGAAAGAGGTCCGCAGCCGTCTCAGGTCTGAATGCCCACGCCCTTCCCTGCCGGATAAGGTCGCTCAGACCCCGGAATTCGATAAGGTTATGTCAACCTTCATGACGCGCAGTGGTAGAGACCCCCGCCGAGGGGTGGAGAAAGGCCTATGGGGCGCCCAAGATAACCTGCTGGATTCTGTAGGCCCCCTGGCTCGCATTATGTATCTGGCTGATGATGCCTACACCAAAGCCGATTCCTTCTCCGCTGAGGACATCAGGGAATGGGCACATGATGTTCGTGAATGGGCACAACGGTGTTTTTGTTTCATCGGAAACACTAATGTTACGCTCTCTTCAGAGAGAAGAAAAGCAGCGTTGTACCGTATTAACGGCAAATTGGCAGACCTTGGCACAAAGGAGATTGGGCCCCAGGCACAAGGGAAACTATTTGGTGAACCGTTCCTCAAGGAACTCAACAAACACGTAAACGTGTTCACCTCCCTTAATAAAGCGCAGTCCACAATGCGCAGAGTTTTCAGAAGCAACCCTACCAGAGGGGTTTTTGGAAGGGCTGGCCGGCAACGGGGCCGTGCCGCCAGTCGATTTTGGCCTTCAGGCCTCCGCACCCAACCAACACCATTTTACCCGACAAGAGACTACCGGCAGCAATACTTTTCCAGAGGCTCGGATAGAGGTCGTGGACCCCGCGGACGCGGACGTTCCCGCTTTACCGCAGGTAAGGACCCATATTCCTCCACTGTTACCATGTACCCGCACTGCGGGCCGTATTTCCCTTTCTTTCCAGAATTGGGCCGCCCTATGCTCAGACACATGGATCCTACAAACTGTACAGGGATATATCATAGACCTAGTGGGGACCCCCTTTCAGGTTCGACCCCCTCGCCCCATCCACATGTCATCCTCCGACCACAACCTCGTCAACACGGAGCTACGCGAGCTCCGAGACAAAGGGGCTATCCAGCCGGCCCGCGACGGGGGTGGCTACTTCAGCAACATCTTCCTGGTTCGGAAAAAATCGGGAGAATACCGCCCCGTCATCAATCTACGCGCCCTCAACGCATATGTGGTCTATCGCCACTTCAAAATGGAAGGCATCCACCTCCTGCGAGACCTTCTTCGAAGCAACGACTGGTTCACCAGGCTCGATCTAAAGGATGCGTATCTGTCAGTCCCGGTGCACCCGGACTGTCGAGCACTCCTACGCTTCCTCTGGCACGGACGCCCTTGGCAATTCACTTGCCTCCCTTTCGGGCTCAGCTCAGCCCCATGGTGCTTCACCAAACTCCTAAAACCAGTGGTGGCCCACCTAAGATCAAGGGGCATTCGATGCATCATCTACTTAGACGATCTCCTCATCTTCTGCGCAGACGAACACAGACTACGCCAACACACTCACCTGGCAGTATCCCTACTGGAGTCTTTGGGTTTTATCGTAAACCAACAGAAATCGGAGCTGACCCCTACCCAGACGATACAATTCCTCGGCTTCGAGATCGACTCGACGACATGCACTCTGAGGCTACCAGCCTCAAAGATCACAGCCATTCGCAAGGAGATTCGCAGGGTTCTCCGTCTCGATTCCATTCCACTACGCAATCTGGCCAGGATTGTAGGACTCCTCTCGGCTTCCATTCAGGCCATATTTCCGGGTCCCCTCCACTACAGGGCCATGCAACGTCTCAAGGCGAAATACCTACGCCGCAGGCCTACTTACGACCAACCCGTCCCGGTGACGATGGAGGTTCGCGAGGAACTATCATGGTGGCTGGACAGCATGCAAGCCTGGAACGGCAGGGCCATATTCGGAGACGCCCCAGACTTCGTACTGGAATCAGACGCCAGCCTGTGGGGATGGGGTGCCACCAACGGAACCATCTCCACGGGGGGAACATGGACGGCGCAGGAGCTCTCCATGCACATCAATTGCCTCGAACTCCTGGCAGGATCCTTCGCGATTCGCAGCTTGGCCCGGGAAAGATCCAACTGCTGCATCCTCCTGCGCATGGACAATGTATCCGCAGTCCAGTACATCAACCGCCTGGGAGGCGCTCGCTCTCGCCTGCTGTCGGATATCACGAAAGGCATTTTCGACTATTGCCTCCCTCGCAACATCACGCTACAGGCAGAATACTTGCCAGGAGAAATCAATCTCACAGCCGACTGGTTCTCTCGTCACTGGAGAGACGTCAGCGACTGGAAGCTAAACACGAGAATATTCAGGGCCCTTGCAGCCCGGAGGGGTCCCTTTCACCTGGATCTGTTTGCCTCTCGAAACAACCACCAGACCCCGGAGTTCTTCAGCTGGCTCCCGGACCCGGAGAGCAAGGCGACAGACGCATTTCTCCAACAATGGCCGTCGACAGGAGCCTACGCCTTTCCCCCATTCCCCATGATTGCGAGAACACTACACCAGATACGGACGCAACAGATCAAACTGGTTGTCATAGCGCCCTTGTGGCAGAGCCAACCATGGTTCCCGGACCTCCTGGCCTCCTCCTACAGGGACCCTCTTCTTCTACCATCCTTCCCGGACCTGCTCACGGATCCCAAAGGGCATCTCCACCCACTACTCCTGGAAGACCGGCTACCCCTGGTGGCTTGGTCTCTTTCCGGGGTTCCTGGCGAGTCAGCGGACTATCGCAGGCTGCTAGGGACCTCTTATGGGACTCATGGGCCCCGGGAACTAGACGCTGTTACCTTTCAGCTTGGGCCTCCTGGTCTACTTGGTGCATGGAACGGGACTCCGATCCCTTTACAGCACCTATTCCCATGATTCTTAATTTTCTCTCCTCCTTGTTTTCATCTGGCCGCTCTTACCGTTCGGTCAACGTCGTGCGCTTCGCGATTTCGGCGGCTCACACCCCCGTCGGGGATCTCCCGGTCGGCAAAGACCCTCTGGTCTGCCGTCTACTCCGCGGTATGCGGCTCCGCCGTCCCCCGGCCCCCAGATACCCTCACCTATGGGATGTGGGACTGGTTCTCCACTTCTTCAGGGATTGGCTTCCAAATGACCGCCTCTCCCTACGCCAACTATCCGCTAAGAGCGCTTTCCTCCTCTGTCTTGTAGCTTTCCGACGGGTTTCGGACGTTCGGGCCTTCGACGTGGACGCTTTCGAGGTGGCCCCTGAAGGGGTCACGTTCCACATTTCCCGTCGCACTAAGTCGGGTTCGACCTCGGTCTTTTACCCATTTTTTCCCGACGACCCGCAGCTTTGCGTCGTGTCCACCCTCCGCAGGTATGTTTCGGTTACCTCCTCGCTACGGTCCTCTACGTCGGGCCAACTCTTAGTCTCCTACGTGCGCCCTCACGCCCCAGTCTCGGTCACCACCTTGGCCCGATGGATCCGCTGGATCCTTTCCCTCGCAGGTATAGACCCCGCATTCGGCGCCCACTCCGTTCGCGGTGCGGCGGCTTCATCTGCCTTCCTGGCAGGGGCGTCCCTCTCAGATATTCTCAGAACGGCGGACTGGTCTAGGGAATCCACTTTTCGTACATTTTATTTTCGCACTCCCCCTTCTGCTGGGATGTCTCTTCTTCAGCGTTAAAATTGCAAAATAGGAAGCCTCCTGTCATGTTATAAAATTGAAGATTATGCTAGCTTTAGTGTACTAATAATCTTAATTTTAATAAGGACAGGAGGCGAGTATTTTCCCTCCCTTTTGTTCCCTACCCTGACTCCTCGGGGGAGTGGATCTTAAGGTGATGGATTTTGGGATTCATATTGTGGTTCCACTATCTTCTGGACATATTCGGTATCCCCTCCATCTCTATTCCCAGTGTTTCCATCTAGACGGACAGTTTAGTTGTACAACATGCTTACACCTACACATATTTAGCCTATGGCCAGCTTACAATCTGTCTGTACTGTCTAATTTACACCATTCTGTTAAAGCCCACAGGCGTGAACAGTTACGGTTCAGTACCTAACCGATTTTATACTCTCCTTTCAGTGTAACCCTCTTCAGGACCTCCACTGGTCGCTGGTTCGTTAACCTCACGACTCCGTAAGATGGGATGACGGCTTCGTTTGGTCTTTCCTCCTATCTCGTTACCAGGAGTCTCCTCAAGTTCCGCTCGCCAGAGACCGCAGTTACTGTTTCGTTGAGTTTCTGGATGTTCGAGCTCTATCTGGACTTGGATGTCGCTTTAAGAAAGAGGAAGTGTACAGGCAGCATGACCCTTATATACTATGCTGCTCAGTGATTTATTTGTTACTCTTTACGTTTTTCTTTACTGCTGTGGAGTTTAGTAAAGAGAGTTAATGCAAAATACTCGCCTCCTGTCCTTATTAAAATTAAGATTATTAGTACACTAAAGCTAGCATAATCTTCAATTCACATTGAATTTCTCTAGAATTCTCACATTGGTGCATAACCCTCTCTGTTGCAGCTTAAATGTACAGGCTGGATTATGTTAGCAAAGGTAAATTTGATTCCTTAATTATTGAGGTTATGCTGTGCGTACTGGGGCATTATACTTGTTCTTGATATTACAACAGGGCCAGGAACTTCCGCAAATCCCCATAAACAGCCAACAGAGACAGATAATATATGAGGAACAGGCAATCCTAAAGATATACATATAAAAAGATAATAGTGTAGTCCCCTTGAATACCAGCAAGTTTATATGAATGCATATTAATTAATTAAAATTAAATGCCTTGAATAATAAAAGATGGCTTTACACTCTAAACGGAATGGACCCAACTTGAAGGAGAGGATGTGTCTATTTAAACAAGAAAAATATACAATATTGGATTATATTGCAGGATGCTAGTGGTTTAAAACTAATGACACATTTATTATACTAAATATAAAAGCTTCAAAATGAGTAAATATCAGATTTCACCAATTGTAGTCAGCTCTAGGCAACGCATTTCATCATGAGCAGATATGATTCTCCAGGGTAACATGATATTCAGATGATAGAGCAGCGTAAAAAAAACAAACCCAAAAAAACACAAGAAGCCATATTGTAACTACGATTACGACACTATTACCTTTTTTATATATTGCTCACTAGGATTGATTGTATTCTCATATATTTTCTGTCCATATTCTTGGTTAATGCTATCTTGCTAGGGTTTGCTAAATTCCACATATCGAGCCATCAGTCCATGACACTTACCCATATATCCAACTCCACGTCCTCACCGTCATGGTTGTCACTCTTCAACAACACACACCTCCGGTTTGCCTACACTCCTCTCTCTCTTTTGTCATTTTCCCTGCTTGGTGATGTTTTCCCAAACAGGAATGGAGTTATGTTTATCTCTCCATTCCTATACACCCTAGATAGGGCTAACAGCATTGGCTAGAGAGTTACGCTATATTTGGAGAGTGGAAGAACCACATGTAGGAGGTCTCTTTTGCTCTCCCTGTCCTTCAATTCTATGCCTGTAACGTAACTTATTACAATGGACGCTCCTGTGTCAACTTTGATTCATGCACCCCTTTCCTGACACATTCCATCTGCTATGACGCCATGTTCTATTTTCGTCTAACCACAGAACTGATGCATTATATTTCTATCAGGTGCAGCGTACACCATTCTGCACCTATACACCAACTGAACCATCATACCCATCATACCCCTATCAATCACAACGGCTTTGCCTTTGGTTGGTTGCTAGCTTTTATCTTACTTAAGAACCCCGTCAACTCATGACAATGCCAAATAATTATTAAAATTCCCATCACATTTTTTAAAATAAATAATTATGCATAACCCATAGAGACACAAAAGAGACACTGAAACAAGCTACAAGCTAACAGCGACAACCTACTGTGATCTGTTCTGTTATCACTTGCATATTTGGGTATTTATATTTGATTATTTTCTCTAAACAAAATTATATATGTTTAGAAAGACAAATTAATTTGTAAATAGTTTGTGTTATTTTTTGCTATTTTTATTTTTGTTGTGTATAGAGTTACATACAAGCTTGTATGACCACGACAGCTCAGATAAGCATCAGAGTTTCAATCGTCACAGTACTGTGTCATGTCATGAAGAGTATCTGCACATTTTTTTTGTTTTAATGAAAGTATGTTCAGGCTATTCAGCCAAGTCTAGCTACTAGAGATCAGAACGTAAGCTAGCATAAGAAATTTAACTAAATTGCATACATTTAGTTTTGTGACTCAGATAACTAGCTAGATAAATTATGGAGGTATGAGTAATTATCACATTAGGTTAATAGTTTGTGTTATTAAACTGCTGTATTAATAACTGATTCTTCTAAAATGCCACCATATATATATATATATTTTTTTTTTTTTTTTAAATCTTTATTTTTTTTGTGCACAAGTTTGACAGACAAGCTTACTATGCCACATTAGCCAATATAAGTATTCACGATTTGTAGTACTGTGGCATATGATACAACTGCACATTTTTGTGATAATAAAAAGGCTTAACATACATGTTTGCAAGAACATTTCACAAGATTATTTGCAGAAATTGCCTCATTTATATATATTATTTTTTTCCAAGAAAGCACATGTGGGAGAGATAATTAAAGACAAGTCAAAAAAGGGAAAAACATATGTTTAACACAGTTCTACTTTACATACTCTGAAATAGAAGTATTGGGTCAGTTAACGAGCAAGTGTGGTAGCAAGGCATGTGAGCAAGTAAAGCAACACAAGCTAATACCTATACGAGTATGCCGTATTACATCCTTGTACCTGTCATTTGCCCAGTATAGCTATGCAATGGTAAACTAAAACATTACAAGGTGTATAGTGTCATCAGTATGGTGTGGGTCTAGATATCTGCTAGCTTAATAGCTGCATGAGTGGTGCTAGCAGTCCATGTTGAGGGCAGTTCAACCTATGCCCCGAGATGGGAGGCGGGTGACAGGTGGATGCATAAATCCTTTGTGTCTTAGCAGGGGGCTCCATCGGCTCCCAGTGTGTGTGTACGTCCCACCGTAGCCCATTGTAGGAGTAAGGCCCTGTGACCATTTCGGGGCCCACTAGCAGCCCCTTCCCAGAGTGGATTCTGTAAGAGCGCGGATGACACTTGCGGAGTTGGCACCATCTGGAGCAGCCAGCAGAAGTCTGTGTGCTGTGGTTCTGCCTCAGTTACGGCCCCTGCTGTCCTGTCTCCGTCTTTCTATATCTGTGGCTATGAGCAAGTCGCGGCTGCCACTTGTTCCCTGAGTTCATTGGGGACTCTCATTGTTTGCCTGGCTGAGGCCTGACCTTGCGGCAGTGACCAGCATGCTGGGTCCGTGGGACAAAATCTCGTCTTTGAGGTGGAGGATGGGATTCTGACTGGTGCTCTGCCAAACGTGCCCAGAAACGGGCAAACACAGCCTCCAGAGATGTCTCGATGTTGCTGCTATATGCAGGTAATTCGGTAGCATCAGGGGCCTTGTTCTTTGACCCCTGAGTGCCTGCTACCACATGTTCAGGCAGTTTAGGCTGTTCACCCTTTTCTTCTTCAGCGGACATCTTGGGACGCACAAGGCTGGGATTCAGTCCGGGTCCATCTGTTACAAGCCGTGGGCAACCGTTTCCCCCTGTCTGACCGAGTTTATCTGGGCACAGAGCAGTGCAGGCTTAGTGAAGGACGGTCAGCTGCTGAAAGAAATGGTTGTCTGTGTCGCTGAAGTGCGATATAGCTGGTATATGAAGCTTGTATGGCCGGAGCTAACAGAATGTGTGTCCAGCCATCTTGAGGGTCAGGCCGCGCCTCCCCGCCACCCTATATATTTAGCAAAAGTTGGAAATACCTTTCTGATAATGGTTCAAAAGAAAAAATTATAAGAATCTGGGGAAGTGGTCATGCCTTGGGGGAATTTTTTGACAAGGTGATTGGGTGGGATAATAGAACAAACTTTGCTGATAAGGACGCCAGGATCCAAATCACAAATTTCTTTGCATATATACATTAAAATCCAGCTGGTCAGCTACTCTCACACCCTCGCAAGGTTTCCTCACTTACATACAGAGGATTTCACACCCCCTTTGCACAGAAGTGGCTAGATGCACTTATCTGGACATCCCATCAACGCGTTTCGCTTCAGATTAATGAGCTTTTTCAAGAATGCTGCCATGTCCCATAACAGATTTATATGCATACCGTATTTTCCGGCGTATAAGACGACTTGGCGTATAAGACGACCCCAACTTTTCCAGTTAAAATATAGAGTTTGGGCCGTATAAGACTACCCCACTTCCAATGCACACCAAATAAAAATTAGCCATGATGTACAGTGAGCAGACAGAGCTACACAGCAAGACATTAAATAATGATAATCTGAAATAACATTTAAAGCCCAGGTATGTGCCAGGCTGTTTGGGCATATAATCCATGCCTGCTGGTCTAGCACACAGGAGGCTAATTGCGATATATTCTTTTTACTCCCTCCCCCCTCCATTCTTTTTACTCCCCCTCCCCCCCCATCCTCCCTACGTTCTTCTCACCTACCCTTCCCTGTGCAGAGTGGGTGGCCGAGCTCCTCATCGTCCTGTCAGTCCGGCCGGGTACCGCGCGATACAGGAGATTCAGTTACCTGTTCCCGGCCGGACTGAAGAGAAGTGAGCACTCAGTGTGCACTTCCTTTCAGTCCGGCCGGGAACACGTAAGTGAATCTGCTGTACCGCGCGGTACCCAGCTGGACTGACAGGATGAACAGGAGCTCGGCCACCCACTTTGCACAGGGAAGGGGAAGTGAGAAGAGAGGCAGTGCGGCAACCGGCGCCCCCAGCAGCCATATACCCGGCGTATAAGACGACCCCCCACTTTGGAGAAGATTTTCTTATACGCCGGAAAATACGATATATAAATACCTTCTTGCTTAAAGCAAGGGTTTAAAGTGACCTGAGCCAATAGCCAATTATCACATAAAGCAAGACAGCCCCATACCAGGGCTATACATAAACATTCTTGAAACAATCTTAAAATAAATTTATATTATAGTCAAAAGTATTTAATATGAAACAATGCAAAACACACCTCCTAAACAAGAATCTCAAAACCCTTACCAAATAAGAGCAATGGAATGTAACATAGTTAAAACTATTCCCACGTGGAGAGTATCTGCTAACTAACATGTGTAACATTATGCAAAAACATTAATCAATTTCCTTTCCAGCTCTCTTCTCCAGGTGGGAGTGCCTCCCTGTCAGGGCCGGCCTTAGATCATTAGGCGCCCTGTGCAAAAAGTCTTCATTTTGTATACCAAGTTGATGGTATACAGTCACACACACAGGCACAGGCTGACAGTCAGACACACTCAGTTGCAGGCAGACAGTCAGACACGCTCAGTTACAGGCACTCAGTTAAACGCAGATAGTCACACATACAGGCGCAGGCACACACAACAGCACAGCTACAGCGACACACACAATTGGAGTCACACACAGTTACAGTCACACTCAGGCAGAAAGTCACACACACACACACAGACAGTCACATACACAGACAGACAGTCACACACATACAGGCAGACAGTCACACACACACACAGGCAGACAGTCACACACACAGGGAGGCAGTCACACAGACAGTCACACACACAGACAGACAGTCACACAAACGGGCAGGAAGTCACACACACACAGACAGTCATGCACACACAGGCAGACAGTCACACACACACGCAGGCAGGCAGTCACACAGACAGTCACATACACACAGGCAGGCACACACAGGCAGTCAGACAGTCAGTCACACACAGGCAGGCTGTAACACAGGCAGGCAGTCACACAGGCAGTCAGTCACACACACACAAACAGGCAGGCAGTCACACACAGGCAGGCATGCAGTTACACAAACAGACAAACAGTCACACACAGGCAGGCAGTCACACACACACACACAGGGCAGGCAGTCACACACAGACAGGCAGTCTCACACACACACACACACACAGAGGCAGGCAGTCACACACAGGCAGCAGTCACACACACACACACACACACAGAGACTTACCTCTTTCCATTATGGCTTGAAGGGGGAGTGGATGCAGTTCCTGTGCAGCAGTTACCAGGGGGATTCTGGTATTTATTAGCTCCGCCTCCACCACGCGATAAGACCCACCCCCGCTGCTCATTAAGCTGCACCCCCTCTGCCGTGAGTTATTTATTTTTTATAGACCCGGGTGGAGAATAATGAATCCTCCACCCGGGCACCTGTTTTAGCTCCCCTGACACCGGCCATGTGCGAGCTGTGTCGGCTGTCAGGGCGCCCACTGGTCTATGGGGCCCTGTGCGGCTGCACAGCTCACACACCCCTAAGGCCTGCCCTGCTCCCTGTGTCACAGGTCCCTCATCCCAGGGCCCTATTTAGCCTTGTAGTGCAGAGAACTCGAGATGGAATTTTTTCCCCAAGTAAGAAGCTCATTTTGCAGACATTTTTCTGTTAGAGTAGGACCTGTCAAAGATGGGGTACATTGATGTGGTGGCAGGCTTATGCAGTGTATGATCACACTGTAATTTGTAGTGATGAGACCAAAATGGGGAGGGGTCAACAAGGCCTATAGTGATAAGAATACCATCCCCACCGAAGCATAGAAACATAGAAACATAGAATGTGACGGCAGATAAGAACCATTCGGCCCATCTAGTCTGCCCAATTTTCTAAATACTTTCATTAGTCCCTAGTCTTATCTTATAGTTAGGATAGCCTTATGCCTATCCCAGCATGGTGGTGGCTCGCTGATTTTTTTTTGAGGGAGGGGTGGGGGGGTGAGGGATGTGAGCTCTAAAGGCACCAGGAATCTTGTGAAAATTGATGGCAAGATGAATACAACATATTATCAGAAAATACTGGCAGACAATTTGCATTCTTTTGCACAAAAGCTGCGCATGGGACACTCTTGAACTTTCCAGCATGACAATGACCATAAGCACAAGTCTAATTTGGCCCTCCAGTGGTTACAGCAGAAAAAGGTGAAGGTTTTGGAGTGGCCATCACAGTCTCCTGACCTTAATTTCATCAAACCACTCTGGTGAGATCTCAAACGTGCGGCTTATGCAAGATGACCAAAGACTTTTCATGACGAACGGGCAGCTATACTCAGGGCCGGTGCAAGGATTTCTGCCGCACTATGCAAAGATCCATTTTGCCGCCCACTCATGTCACTAACTCACTGACAGACACACACACTCACTGACACATACACACGCACTGACAGACACACACTCACTCACACACATACACTCACTCACTGACACACACACAGACACTTACTGACAAACATACACTCACTGACAGACACACAAACACACGCGCACACACAGATAGACACTTACTGATAGACATAGACATACACTCACTCACTGACAGACAGACATACTCACTCACTGACATACATACACTCACTCACTGACAGACATACACTCACTGACAGACACACACACACACTCACTGACAGGCATACACTCACTCACTGACAGACACATACACTCCCTGACATACATACACTCACTCACTGACAGACACACACACAGACACTCACTGACAGACATACACTCACTGACAGACACACACTCACTCACTGACAGACACAGACACTCACTCACTGACAGACACCGACATTCACTGACAGACATACACTTACTGACTGACAGACACACACACTCACTGACAGACATACACTTACTGACTGACAGACACACACACTCACTGACAGACATACACTCACTCATAGAAAAACACACACAGACACTCACTGACATACATACACTCACTCACTGACAGACACACACAGACACTCACTGACAGACAGCCATACACTCACTCACTGACAGACTCACAAACATACACACTCACTGACAGACATACACACACACACTCACTGACATACATACTCACTCACTGACAAACACACACACACACAGACACTTACTGACAAACATACACTCACTGATAGACATACACACACTCACTGACAGACATACTCACTCACTGACAGACATACACTCATTGACAGACACACACACACACACACTCACTGACAGGCATACACTCACTCACTGACAGACACATACACTCCCTGACATACATACACTCACTCACTGACAGACACACACACAGACACTCACTGACAGACACAGACACTCACACACTTACTGACTGACAGACACACACACTCACTGACAGACATCTCACTCACTGACAGACACACACTCACTAACATACATACACTCACTCATGGAAAGACACACACACACAGACACTCACTGACATACACTCACTCACTGACAGACACACACACACAGACACTCACTGGCAGACAGCCATACACTCACTCACTGACAGACTCACATACATACACACTCACTGACAGACATACACACACACACAGACACTCACTGACATACATACTCACTCACTGACAAACACACACACAGGCACACACTCACTGACACACTCAAACACTCACGTCCCTACTGGGGTCCAGTGTGGGGCAGCTCCTCACTCCTCCAGCACGCCATTTAGTATG